ATTGGTATAACCTTTCATCCTCTTCTCCCTAAGATAATATTAGAGATTGAGGTGGTGTAGCTCTCAAGAAGCCCCTGCTTGCTCCATTGCGGTCTTTTCTTCTTCTTTCTTATAAAACCCCCAAACTGCAATAATCGAAGAACTCATTTCAACTGCTGGAATGAAACTGGTGAAATGGCGAACCGTTGTTCACATTCCCCTCGACTATATGTAGGGAGTGACTAACCAAGAACTTGGTTCGCCAAACCAAATTCAGCGAACCAGTTTCCCATGTGTTTAGGTCGCTTTGGTCTAAAATATTTCGATATTGAATTGAGAATATTACCCGAAACAAGCACACATCAGAAGTTTCAGTTCTACTTCTCAGAAATGTAACCGACACTCTATCTCTTTTCGTTCACGAGATCCTCATGTACAGAAACGAATTTGAAGCCCTGTATAAATCGGTCAGTTTTCCTTTACCATACTGACTTCATAACGTTCCTTTTGGTAAACTTAAAAAATGACTAATATTAACAGGAAAAATCATTCGATCCGCTGGTTTTCTTCGATAAAAATAATTTTATTTACCTTATTCGCCTCATCTTTTCTACCTCTTTTTTTGCACGTAGAATCATTCATAACTGTAAAAATAGAAAGTTCAGTGGAGTTTTATGAATACCAGAAGTTTTCGGAGGTAGACTGATTCTACATAATTCATGAGAATGTTTAACGCCATGCTTGAAGACAAGCGGATTCTAAAATGTTTTCGGCAAAATTGTGTTATTTCAGTATTGACGCTTTCCAGTGAAGTGATTATGGAAATTTTTGTGCTGGCGAAAGAATAAGTCCCTATAGAACTCTTTTGAGTAAGTAAATTTGGAATACCGTTTCTATGAATATGTAAGAAGCCTTATTGGTCGGAAAATGTCAATTAACTCTGTAAGGAATTTTAAGTGAATTTTTTGTCACTGATAACGTTTGATACTTCATGGAAAGAAAATTGAAATGTAATGTGCATTCTTCTGGATATTGTTTTATTATTTCCGAGTTCTGACCTTTAAGGAGTTTTCAGTTACTTATTCTGATATAATGAAAGAGAAAGAAGAGTTCTCATATTGACAAATATAAAAAGGTTATCAAAGGAAATTATCGAGGTGTTTATATCATTTTTCAATTTATTTATACGTACAACCCATCTCGTCTTGTGCGCCAAACTAACTAACTGTTACAAGGAAACAAATATAGCTGAGGCTCCAGTCAATCTAATAATAACACTGATGATTTTCAAACAAGACTCAACCTCTAACGGAAGCAAGAAACTCTTTGGAAGGTTCGAAATAGATGAACATTTCAACCTAGCAGACCACTATTATAATATTCATGCAGTCATTGTTCACTGTGGTTCTGGCATTGAATTTGGTCAATATTACGCCTTGGTCATAGAAGAAACGGACTGGTTTAAGTTTGACGATAGTCGTGTCACGAAGTGTTCTGGCGATGCATTGAATTTATTGGAGCCTCTGGAGACAC